AGGTACGTGTCTGCCCTCAAAGTGGTAGCCTGGGACGAGCAGTACTTCTCCGGGTGGCTGGAGCATGTGAGCGGCGTGCCGATCCTTTCTGCCTCTTCTGGCGCTTTTTCTCTTTGGCTATGCCCGGAGGGAGGCACCCGAGTCCAGGGACGCGGGGAATTCACACCAGGGCGCTGGGCGGCCTGGCCAGCGAGCCCAACGGGGGCTCCCTTACCTACCTCGGGGGGGCCCTGGGTGACGCGAGGGACCTCGACAGTACCTCGGGGCACCCAGCCGATGCTCGTCGATTGAATTCGTAAGCTCGCGCTGGTGACCCAAGCCCCGCTCAGTGCACGCGTGCTCCGACGGGGGGTTTGGCGAGTTGCGCGGCCATAGTATTCAGAGGTGTCGGCGCGCCGAAGCGCCTGCAATCGGCGGAGGGTCCCAGGGCATTGGACCGCCGCCGATGTCTTGTCCCTTCTCCCTCCCTCTTCCCTCACTTCCATTCCTTCGTCCTCCCGCTCGAGTTCTTGCTTCCAGTGGCGCTCGATCTCTTGCTTCCAGTGCGTTTCTTCACACGGCACGCGCGCAGTCTTTGGCTTACACTGTGTTGCATCGTTCTGCACGCGTAGTCTCCGCACGGCACGCGTATAATCCTCATGAGCAGTGTAGCGTAGCAGCAGTGCACAGGATGTCAGCATGATTTCCGCCAGTGCTTAAGGGAATAAGGATAGTCAACTTCACAACTTTGACTCTGAATCCTCCGGCTCCACGGGGGGAGCTGGACTGGAAGGTAGCTCGGGGCTGCCGGGTGCACGGATCCAGGAGACGTAGAGCGTGCTCTGGGAAGGGCTTCCCCGGAACATGCTATTCGGGGTCGCCTGGCAGCCTTCATAGGCCCAAGTGGCTGCCCATCGCGGGCGGCACGGGGTGCTAGCAGCATACCGGGTGCTCACGGAATCCCCCAGACCCGCACTTGGGCAGGGGAGGAGCGAGCTGTTTCGCGCAAGGGTGAAAAAAACAGTCCAGCGCTCCGACCATTCTTGCTTACTCCTCCTCCTCCTCCTCCTCCTCCTCCTCCTCCTCCTCCTCCTCTTTTTCCTCCTCCCCCTGCCCCTCCTCCTCCTCCTCCTCCTCCTCCTCCGCCTCCTCTACCTCCGAGCGACGACCGAGTCTGCCCGCGCGCCCGAACGCTGCGAACGGGCGCGGGCGCAACCCCCCAACCCCCCAACCACTGGTCCAGCGCACCGCTCAGAGGTGACTGGTCCTGGAGCCGAAGGGGCGCGCCCGCCGGGGCCCATCGACACGGTTAAACGGGACCGCCAAGGCGACCGCGACGACGGTGAGGAGCAGCGCCAGCGCGGTCCCACCGCCAGGCGCCCCTCCAGGGTGCTGCGGTCCCACCGCCAGGCGCGGGCCCGCCGCGCGCCCGCCGCCCGGCCGTGCCCGCGCGGCGCCTGGTCGCCGGCCCCGCGCTGGCCGCGCAGGCCGCCGCGCGGTGCTTCGGGCCCGCCGCCGCCTGCCTCGCCGCGTTCGCCGCCGCCGCCGCGCCCGCCGCCATGCCGCGGCGGCTCAAGCAGCGCTCAGCGGAGCTCAGCCGCGCGGCGCAGCTGCCGCCCCTGGCGCCAGCGCTGCACCGCGGCGCTAAGCACGCGGTGGGCCCACGCCAACTCCGGCGCCCGCTGGTCATCCGGGAGGTCGTCCGCGTGGTCAAGCAGCCACTGGCGCGCCTCAGCGCCCAGGCGGCCGGCGGACTCCACGACGAACGCCGTCAGGCAATCGCCGGGGTACCGCCCGTGCTTCTCGCGCTCGGCGCGCCACGAAGCCTCCCGGGCCCGCCGCGCCGCGGCCCGCGCGGCGGCCGCGTCCCCAGCGGCCGGGTGGCGGACTGTTACGTCCACCCACCAACGGCCGTCCTCCCTGGGGTGCTCCACATCGAGCCCGCTCATGGATCAGCTCCCCGGGCCCCTCGGCCAGCCGGCGGGCGCGGGCGCGGTCCCACGTCGGGACGAGCTTCTCGTAGAGCGGCTCGCAGCGCCGCCACCGCCCTGCGAGCCCGCCCACGGCCAAGGCGAGGTCGCTGTGGCGCCGGACCGCGCCGCCGCCGAGCTGGCAGGCGGCCGCGTGGCACCCGTCAGGGCCTGGGGTCGAGCGCCGCGGCGCAGACGGCCCCCCCGCGCGCCAAATTGCTGCAGGTCGCCGATACCCGCGCCAACTCGTCGCCTCAGAGCACTCCGGCCGCGGCAAGTGGAGGCGGCAGCGGAGCGCCGTCGCCCATTGGACGTCTTCTTGGGCGCAAGCCGAATCAGCGGGGTACCGCAAGAAGGCCCCGGCCCCAGGCCTCCAGCCGATAGGAAGGCTGCCTGGCCGCGGATGCGCATTCGCCGCTTAGCCGCAGCGTGGGTTGTCTGACGCACCACCGCAACCAGGACCTTCTGCCGAGTCTGGCCTCCAGCGCCGCCGCCAGGGGGGCGCTCGGTGCCGGCTCCGCCCCCTGGCGCCCCAGCTCGGCGCGGGCCTTGGGGGAGCGCCGACAGGGTGTCCTCCAGCGAGGCGAACCCGAGGTCGCCGCGCACCTCGTTGGCTACCTGCGGCCAGACAGCCCAGCAGGCGGCCGCGCGGCGAATGGTGGCCCACTGGATGCTGGCGCCGTCCAGCTTCGCCGGCAGCCCAAGCAGCTCGCACGCCTCAGGCCCAAAAGGGCGCTCGGCGAGCTCCTCCAGCAGCCGTGCAGCACCGCGTCGTAGCGGGACGCCTCGGCGTCGGACGCCAAGGCCAGCTGGAGGTTGTGCTGGCTGGCGTTGCCGGCGTAGGCACGGAGGAGCGCGCCAGCCGCCTGGCGCGCGAGGCCGCCCTGCCTCACCTCCTGCAAGCGCGCCCAGCAGCGTTTCAAGCGCGCCGTCGCCTCGTCGAGCCCGCTGGAGTGCGGCATCTTCCAGCGCCCGGAGCTGCGCCCCCAGGAAGGGCAGCGCCGGCACGACGTTGCCCGCGAGCTGGCCAGAATGGCTTGCGCCCCAGCCGGGGACCAGACCAGCGTCTTCCGCGCGTTGAGCTCGGGCCCGAGCGGCGCCAGCGCAGCTCGCAAGCCTGCCACCGCCCCCTCCTCCCCCTCCTCTTGGTGTTATCCACTTCTCCCGGGGGTGGACAGTGCCCCCTTTCGCAAAAGACCCCTTTGCGAAGAAGACCCGACAGGTTCAGACCTGGCGGGCGCAGGCCCGCAAGGCACCCTCGAAAACCAAAGAGATAACTCGCCAATCGGCATGGCAGGGTGGGGGCCTACCAACCTCTGACTCTCCGTTTGGGTCGCACCAAGCTCGGCTGGTCTAGATTCTCCCGGATGGGGATCACGGCGCCCCGGGCGCACGTGGGCCGCGCGGGAACAGTCCTCCCTGGGTTGGCCAGGAGGGGCTGAGTCTCCCTCTCCTGGTCTTGCCGGGGTAAACGCCAAACCTCAAAGCAGGGCCTTCTTCGCGGGAACTGTTCTATGCGGTTGTTGCGAACCTCGGCTCAGTCGGTTCACTCGGCTCCCCCGTCATCGTCACCGTCATCAGCATCATCATCAGCAGCAGCATCATCATCATAATCATAATCATGACCATCATCAGCATCATCATCATCATCAGCAACATCATCATCAACAGCGTCACTACCATCACCATCACCATCACCATCACCATCACCATCACCATCACCATCACCATCACCATCACCATCACCATCACCATGACCATCACAATCACCATCATCGTCAGCAGCATCATCATCATCAGCATCATCGGCGACGTCGCCATCACCATCACCATCACAATACTCGTCACCACCACTATCATCATCCTCACCATCATCATCATCATCATCATCAGCATCATCATCAGCATCAGCATCAGCATCAGCATCAGCATCATCATCATCATCATCATCATCATCATCATCATCATCATCATCATCATAGTCATCGTGATCATGATCATGGCCATCATGGTCATCAACATCGACATCATCATATCCATCATCATCGACACCACCTATCATACATCATCACCTTTGATGATGCAAGGCGGTGTGGGTCTCCCGCTACCGTAGAAGAGCAATCACATGCACTTGCCCTCTCGGACGGCAACCTTCCGAAAATGGAAACACCAAATTCCCGACCGTAACCCTTTAATATTTACGGCTTGGACCGTTTGCTTAACGTGCCGCGGCGGTGGCACCTGCGGCACGCTATGCCCTGCTAGCGGATAGCGTGTCGCTCAGCTCCGCGGGGAGGGAGGCTGGGCAGAACTCGGAATGATGACCTGTTGAGCATGTCGTGCCGAACAAAAGCGGGTCGACAAGTGAGATAAGCGTTCCTGACCGCTTGTTCGTCGGTCATCATCACCATCGTCATCAGAATCACCATCACCAGCATCAACACCAGCAAAAACAACATCATCAATATCATCACAAGCATCGTGACCAACACCATCCGCAGCATAATTATCACCATCATCATCATAATCATTACCATCACCATCATCATCATAATCATTACCATCACCATCACCATTACCATCACCATCACCATCACCATCATCATCATCATCATCATCATCATCATCATCATCATCATCAACGTCATCACAATCACCACCACTATCACAATCACCATCACCATCATCATCATCACCACCACATCCGTCATCACCATCGGCACCATTATCATAATCTCATCACCATCACCATCATCATCAGTAGTATCATCATCATCATCATCATCATCATCATCATCATCATCATCATCATCGTCATCATCGCCTGTGGTTGAGCACGGAGGCCTTGGCCCGCAGACGTCCGACGTCGTGACTTTGTCGCACGTGCTCCCCCCCAAAGGTCTGAACCTTTTCCCGGGACTGGCTTTTCATCCCGAGTCGTTTCCTGACGGTCCGCAGGCCCGGCGAGGGACCCGAAAGGCCGAAACCTCTCGGCGAGCTCATGTCGTGATTTGTTCGCATCGCGAAAAGGTCTGGACTCTCTCTGCCGGCGTCCTCGAACAAGCCGACCAGGTACGCCTCTGCCGCCTCCTGTGGCGGAGGGTGGGGAAGGGGGGTCGGCTCTGCGCGGCTCACGAGCCCGGATCAGTCAGGGGAGGCCGTAGGGAATTGGCTGCCCTGTTGGGGCCCCGTCCCGTCGCGATCCCCTTCTCGTCGTCGCAACTTCTCCTCCCCCTCCCTTCTATTGGGGCCCTGCAGACAGGGGGGCATCGACAAGCCACAGCCATCGTGCTACCATAGGGAACGAAGGGGCCTGTCTGGCCACGGCGAGCCTCGGCCACGCACAGCTCTCCGACCTAGATCTGAGGAACGGCCCGAACACCAGAGCCCCGCCTGAACCCAAAGTGGTCGTTGCTTCAGCGTCTTGACTGTAAGGCACCAGGACCAAGAGGGCTGGCGCGCCCGCGAAGACTGCAGCCGTGGGTCGAACAACCCGGTACTTCATTATAGGCCTCCCAGATGGGGTCGGAGTAGATGGGGTCGGAGGATCGGGCTGCATCGTCGATGAATCACCGATGCATCGGCGAAGCATTTGCGACGTCGGCGATGCACCGGCGACGTCGGCTTGGCTAAAAGCAGGCTCCACGTCGAGCCGTATTGCCGATGCATCGGCGATGCGTCGCAATCCTTCGACCCCATCCACTCTGACCCCATCCACTCTGACCCCATCTGGGAGGCCTATATCCATTCGCTCCCGCTGAATCCGGAAAATCCCCGTATACAAGGTCCTCGTTTCCGGGGCCCTGGCCTTGCTGCCTGTCTTGCCTGTCCCGCGTCGGTCCGCCGAGGGAGTGTAAGGGCGCACGGCTGGCCCGAGGTCAGACCGAATCTCGTCCTCCTCCTCCTCCTCCTTCTCCTCCTCCTCATCACCATCATCCTCATCCCCATCCTCGTTCTCATCCTCATCATCATCCGCATCCCCATCCTCCCCTCTCAGCAGCAGCATCATCATCATCATCATCATCATCATCATCATCATCATCATCAGCATCATCATCATCATCATCATCATCATCATCTCATCATCATCCTCATCCTCATCATCATCATCATCATCATCATCATCATCATCATCATCATCTTCAGTACCATGTTCATCAGCATCGTCATCATCATCATCATCAGCAGCAGCATCATCATCATCATCATCATCATCATCATCATCATCATCATCATCATCATCATCATCATCATCCTCATCATCATCATCATCATCATCATCATCATCATCATCATTATTATCATTATCATCATCACCATCGTCATCATTCCCATCATCAGCATCATCACCATCTTCTTTCATCATCACCATCGTCCTTATCATCATCATCAGCATACTTCCTGAATATTTCCCATATTCCAAGCCTCCTCCTCATCCCCGTCATCTCTCTTTTTTTCCTCCATGGTTCGCCCTCCTTCTCATCCCTCGCCTCCTCTCGGCTGCACGTAAGGATGATCCTGGGCAAAAGTGACCTTTTGTGCTGGGCTTTCGCGGGGCACGCGAGAAGGCCAAATCCGAGCGCGCAGGCCGCTGCTAGCGGATCGCACTCAGCCATCTGAGGCCTCCGTCGCGCCCGCACCACGTGCCTCTTATGTGTACTCCCCTCTTCCCCCCCCGACAGCGAAGCTCAATCGAGCTAGGCGCTCGCCTTGCAGACGGGGCTCAACCCCATCCATCATGAACAGCCGATCCGATCCCTTCTGGATCCCTACTCACCCCAGGTCCTCCCACGGATCCCCCTTTTTCCTCTCCTGCCCCCTCCCCCCTTTTGCCCTTCGTACCCACCCCCCACACCATCGCCCTCAGGGATCCTGCAGGGCCAGCACGGCCTGCGACTGAAACTTGAGGTCCGTCTTGAAGTCCTCCGAGCGCGGCTCGGGGAAGGACGAGAAACGAGGAAGGAGGCAGGAGAAAGAGGAAGAGGAGGCTCCTCCCGCTTGCGCACTGGCGAACATTCTCCAGGCGGCGGCTGCGGCTGCGCGCAAGCCAAGGGACCCCAAAAGGAGGCTGGCCCTCCTACCGCGCACGTGCCGTGCGGTGCCGCTCTCAGGTGGCGAGCTCCACCTGGTCGCCGAAGAAGGCGAAGCAGCCATACCCAGGCTCAAAGCCCTTGCGCAATGACAAGGTTTTGGCGGGCGGCCGCGAGCTGAATGGACCACGCCGTAGGGCCAACATTCAGGAATGAAGCGACAAGGACGTCGCTCGCATTGGCGAAGAAGGTGATGCTGGCCCGAGCAGCATTCGACAGCGCGGACAGCACAGATGAGGAGGAGGAGGCAACGTCTTGTACATAGCGTTCAGCGCTAGGACGTTTGACGTTTTGACACTGTCAGAAGATACGAGTGATGTCTTCTGTGGCCGTGTAGAAGTCTGTCGCGCCTGAGCCGCCGGGGCGAGCAGGGGTCAGGTCAAAACCCGCTGGCGCTGTGGCGAGCGCCACGCCTAACGCCGAAAGTAAGTGGTACCCACATGCTGGAAACAAGAACATCTCTAACATCGGAACCACCGCTCTATCGGCACACCGAACATGGCGCGACGGATGCGCCCCGCTGGCGTCAGGGGCGGGGGCGGCTAGGAACGCGTCGCCTGAGGACCCGACGCGGTCAATGGGCAACGAGAGGTCACAGCGACGAGCGGACAACAGCTCGTCGGGCGTCAGGGATATCGTTAACCCTACCAGCAACACGGCAGCCAGGACGGGCCATTCACAGGTGAGACAAACTGCCACCATAGTGCGCAGCAGCGCTCGGGGCAATGACAGCCGGAGGCAACACTACGACTACGACTACTACGACTCCTACCTTTACTGCCACTGCAACCAGTATCTGACGTATAATCTCAAGCCGCAAGTTCAGGAGTTGCCGCTGGCACGCATGGAATGCATCGATTAACGAACCATTCCTGCGCCCGACAGCGCAGACGCGAAGGCCTTCCAGACTCACCTCGACGCCCGTTTAACTGATTGTGTTCTTCAGCTTCAGGCACGGCAGCGGCAGTGCGGCGATGGCGCAGCTGGGCGCCATGGCTGAGGCATCTCGCGCCGCCCGACGCTCCAGCGCGCCGCGTTCCCGGACAGCTTGAGCCGAGGTGTCTACAGTTCCATGTCTGCGACGCTCTGGGAGCCCGGGACCGATCGCGCTCCCGTCCGTTGCGCGCCCCCTGGCATACCGCGAAATGCAGCGCCTGCCGCGCCCTGGGCGCCTGACACGGAAAGTGCCCCCCAACCCCCGCGCACAACCTCCTCTGGCGTCCAAAAAATGCCACGCCTGCCACGTCCTGCGGCCCTGACAGGAGTAGCGCCCACTCCCATGCGGAGTCCTTGTGGCGTCTACCACGATGTGCGATCCTGAAATGTATAGCGCCCCCACCCCGTGAGGACTCCCGCTGGCGTCCAGAACGTACCACGCCTGCCACGTTTGCACCCCTGAGACGGATAGTGCCCATATCCTCTGCGGACCCCTTGCGGCGTCGAGAAAATTCCACTCATGCCCCGCTCTGGGACCTTGAGACGAATAGCGCCCCCCCCCCATACCTACGCGTATGGCGTCGAGAAAGTCGCACGCCCGCCCCGTATTGCGACCCTCAAGCGGATATCGCCTTCACCCCGTACGCACCCCCTCTGGTGTACAGAAGGTGCCAAGCCTGCCACGTCTTGCTACACGCCACGTGTCTACTAGCGTTGTCTCGTCCACGTGTCCACCCTCTCCTACCTGCGGGTGGTATGTATGTGCTGTGTGTATGTGCCGTTGTGTGCGTGTGCGACTGCATTATTGTTTGTCTGATGCGCGCGCGAATGCAGGTGAGAAGCAGAGGGAGAGAAGGAGGTGAAGGGCGGGACGCGGGTGGGAAGAAAACCATCACCCCACTTAGCATTTGGGGAATGATCCTCCTCCTCCTCTTCCTCCTCCGGAGGTCCTGCGCGATCTCGCGGATCAGGCGCTGGAAGGGCAGCTTGCGTATCAGCAACTCTGTGCTCTTCTGGTATTTGCGGATCTCGCGGAGCGCCACGGTTCCTCAAAACATCACCGGCTGCATTCCTCTCTTCCACTGTTGCTCGGTCGTCCTCCTCCTTCGCATCCCCTTTCTCCTCTTTCGCCCCTCGACCCAGATCTTACCGTCTCCCCCTCCCCCGTCCGACTCCTCCCAACATCCTCAACGTCCTGCTCCTCAACCTCCTCCTCCTCCTCCTCCTCCTCCTCCTCCTCCTCCTCCTCCTCCTCCTAAACCTCCTGTTCCGCAACCTCCTCCTACCCCTCCTCCTCAACCTCCTGCTCCTGCTCCTGCTCCTCCTTCGTCCCTGCTCCTCATAAGTAACTCTTCCTTGTCGCACCCTCCAGTAGGGCGGGCCATGCATTTTACTTGGGACGCCCGCGCAACTTATCGAACTGAAGCTTTGCCTTGCAGCTTCTATACATATGGGTGGAGGGGTCAACAAGAGGCTCTCGCATTGCTGCCGCGGACATTCGCCGTTATAGTTCGCAACAACGTCAAGGACTGGCGAAAAGGAAACTTGGAACGGGATAATTTGTTGCAGCATCTTTCATGCACCTTGGGTTCACTGTGGTCACTCCTCCGCCTCATCCTCATCATCATAAGATTCCTCATCATTTCCCATTTTCCCCCTCGACCCGCCACTGGATCCTGGTAGGGGATTCTGGAGCCCCCCCCCCAAGTTGCCACTATTCTTACAAACTACAAGGACCAAGGATGGATGACATCTCCTTTCTCAACATTGGTTTTCGCATGAGGCTTCAAGCTTAAGCCCGTCACTGGGCCTTGTGCCCACTGGGGGGCGGCTTAGGATTCGGGCTGGCACGGGAACAGGAAGAACGGTCCGTGGTTCGGATATTTCACACGGGGGGTTCGGCGGCCGTTTACGCGGCAGCGATTTGGACGTAGGGATTGCCATATGGAGCGCGAGTCACAGTAGGACGGCCGCCGTTGTCATCGGAATTGGAATGCCACCGCCCGCTCCCAGGAGCATTGGCGGACAGAGTGCTTGACGGCACGGCTCGCTCGTAAGAGGCTCTTGGAGGCTCCTCGGAGTGCCATTTGGAGGCCTGTTGGGGGGTTTCTGGGCCGTTTGGGGGCCTTCTGGCGCCCTCTTGGGTTAAGTCGGGCCTGTCCCCCATACAGGGGGATTTTTGACGAAAAATAAAAATACACCAACAATAACCAAACAACTATCCAAAAATAAGCTGGGACTATTCTTTGAATATGATTTGGGCCTTTTGGGTGCATTTCTGAAGTATTTCTAATTTTTCGTAGAAAATCCCCCTGTAAGGGGGACGCGCCCGACTTAATTCTTGGACGGTCTGGGGGGGGGGTTGGGCCGGCTTGGGGCGCCCTCGGGGCCCTCTTGTGAGCCTCCTGCGGCTCCCTTGGGGTTCTCCTGGGAGGCTCCTTGGCTCTTGGACCGTCTTGGGGGGCTTGGGCCATTTTGGGGCGCTCTCGGGGCCCTCTCGTGAACCTCCTGTAGTTCACTTGGGGCTGTCCTGGGAAGCTCTTGGGCCTCTGTGGGGCCTTCCTTGGCTCGTGGACCGTCTTGGGGGGCTTGGGCCAGCTTTGGGCGCTCTCGGGGCCCTCTTGTGGACCTCCTGTGGCTCACTTGGGGCTGTCCTGGGAGGCTCTTGGGCCTCTGTGGGGCCCTCCTTGGCTCGTCTTGGGGCTCTCCTGGGCCGTCTTGAGGCCCTCGTGAGCCGTATTGGAGCATCTGGGGACGTTTGGGGCGACCGCGGAGGCCCGCGGGGCCGTGCGCGGCCGTTTTGGATCCGAAGATGCGAGAACCCAAAAATCCAAGTCAACTCAAGTCACCCGGCTCGCACGAGGGCGGGCCCATATAGGGCGCGAAGGAAAAAGAACATACCAGTCACTGTTCGGGCGGAAGCGCACGGAAAGCACAGAGCCTACTCACATGCAAAAGTCCAGGAAGTCTTCTGTCATGCCCACCCACGCGGCGTGATATCGCGCAGCGTCTCGCCACGACCCGACGCGGTTCGCCCGGCAAAACGACGAGAGCTTCGAGCCCCAAGGCAAGAGAGGACGACCTTGTGAGCGCGCCCCAGCCGGCGCCCACTGCAGGGCTCTCTGCGCCCGCCGCTCTGGGGGCGAACTCGCAACATATACGGCCAAATCCCAGTACTTCTTCATGGGCTCTCTCGACCAAGTCTGGATGCCATGATCCGTCGTTGCTTGGCTGAGCCTCTTTTCATGCCATGCGTGTAAAATCTCGCGCCAAGGTCGCGGCCAATCCGAACCAGCTGGCGGGCCAACGACCTGCCGTATCAATCGCCGGAAAACAACGTCGACTTTGCGCACTGAGTCGCTGTGCGGCTTCCAGACGCCAGCTCCGAAACATGCCTTTGACTTTACGACGCGGATGACAAACTCGAGCTGGGCAGCGAGAGACACATTCTGGTCGTAAAGAGCGGCTCTGTTTGCAAAGAAATCATTGCTTGCGGATGTCAGATGGCGCACCAAGTCCAAACTATGCGTCCCAGAACCTCCAGCGGACACCATGCATCCCAACCACTTATGGGCGGCATCCCGGGGCAAGATTCGAATGGCTGCGCCGACCTGCGTGGTCTTGTCATGCGGAGGTTGCGCCTCTGTCGTCATTACCACCGTCTTGGCCGCATCCAGAATCAATCCAGCAGTGGCCAATTTGCCGACCAGTGTATCCAGCTGCGGTGTAGCATCGCCCACTGATCTGGCAAACGCTAGAATGCCATCGGCATAACGTACAGTCTCAAACCGTCGTCAAAATCAGATCCCAGATGCGACGCGCGAGTTCTCCACGCACGCATGGCCCACTCCAGCGCATCTGTGAACAGAACCGGGCTGAACACGCATCCCTGGCGAACGCCAGCATTGATGGGACACCCTTGACTTCTGCCCGGATCACCCAAGATTTGCCCTTGTTGGTCTCGATGCAGCCGGCGCATTATCCAAAATTGATGGTCGCTGACGCCGGGCTGCCGCAGAGCCTCCCGCAATGCTGGCCATGATAATCGGTGATGCGCGCTTTTGAAAAGTCCAAGCTCACGGTCCAGAGCGGGATATTTGCCGCCAAAATATGTTCGATAACAAGTGTTGTTGTCAACAGATGCTCCTCGAAACGTCGGTGAGATCTGAATCCGTGCTGCTCCTGTGGTTGCTGCGATTCTAGCACGTGTTCGACGCGCCCCGGCAGCATGTAGGCCAACCGCTCGCAGAGCAGGGGAATGCTCGCTATGGGGCGAAAATCACCCACTGCCCTGGCATGCGTCTTCTTTACCAGCATGATGAAAAACGTTTTCCGCCATGATTCTGGGACGGCTGAGCCAGTAGTACCAGAATTGTACAGGGTAGGTAGCATCTCCCTCATTTCAAAATTCGAGTGTTCCAACATTTCCGCCACTAGGCCATACTCGCCTGGGGCCTGTTTTGATCCGAACCTCCGGATGCCCTTGTCGATTTCCTGCATGGTGAACGGCACCTCTGTGAGAGAAGGCGGCGGCATGTCCGCAAGTGCCCCGGCGAAGATATCGCGGAAGATGTCGGCAAAATCGTCCGGCGGTGGCTGCTGCGACGCCTTTGCGCCCGAGATGCGACCAGATAGATTTCGCAACCCCTGCCAACACGAAGAATTGGACAAGCATCGTCGTAACCGCGCCATCTTCCAGGCCCTAGCGTCTCTGCAGTGCATCTGGCGGATTTGTAACGACAGCTGCTTTCTGAGAGATTGGTCCACCTCCTGCCGCCTCCTGGCCCGCAGCATATGTAGGGCACTTGATGGGGTAAACTTGTGTTGAACAGTGCGCCTCCTGCTTCCACAATGACCAGCGGCTCGTTGTAGTGCATGTTCGATGTCTTCGAAGGTAGCATCACCAGGAGTAAGCTGGAAGAGCGCTCCATGGAAAGACGCTGCAACTCCAGACGAATTCAAATATTGCTACCAGCCCTTGAAATCCCGTGGCCGCTCAGGCCGCCATCGCTTCTGAACCATCTACCTGCGCTGGCTACGGACGCGCCTGTGGTCGAGGCCAAGAGCAAACGCATTGTCGCACCAACTCTGCACAAACTCAAAAGACACATCAGCGCAAATAACATCTATCTGGACGCGTGACCCATCGGAAGCACGTGAACAAGTCCACGAATCAAGGGCATGTCGTGCATCCGGCTGTTGAAAGCGTGTTCAGAAAGCCAACGAACGAACATCTGCCCGCGAACGTTGCGCACTCCACACCCACAGGTGCCCAACATGTCTACGTCATCCCCCTCCTGTAGCTCACCGATAGAAGCGTTGAAGTCATCCCCGATGATCGGTACGATTCCCTGGCGCTGCCCATCATCAAGTACAATGGACAATAGCGCGTACACTTCCTCAACCGCCTCAGGCGCGTCCCAAAAAGTGAACATAGGAACATATTGCTCGAGATTGTGTAGTACCGTGTCGAAAACCCAGTGCACAGACCCTCTGTGAAATTGGATGGATTCAAGCCCCAAAACCCAAAAACAAAAACAAGCGTAGGGAAATCAAACTGGGTTTTGCCTCCATCGTCCCTCTTGGAAGTTCTCGCTGGAGCCTCTCGGGCCGTCTTGGGGGTTAATTGGACAGTCTCAAGGCCATCTTCGCCTCATTTTGAGCGCGCTTGGGCTGTCTTGGGGCCTCTGGGGCGTCTGCTGTGCCGCCCTGGAGTCATATTGAACCATCTTGGGGGCCTCTTGGGGGTCTTATGGACAGTCATAGGCCGACAAAAACAGCCAACATGGCCCCCAGAAGGCGTGTAAGAACGTGGGCCGGCACGGGGACGGAACGAGCGGGTCCGTGGAACGGATAATTTTACACGGTCTCGAAGTTTCGGCCGCCGTGTACGCGGCAACGATTTGGACATAGGGATTGCCATGCATGCTTGTGGGAACGAATTGGAGCGCGAGTCGCGGTAGGACGGCCACCGTGGACAGTGCAATGGAAAGAGGGGAAACAGGAGAGCGGAAGAGAGGAAACTGGGAGGACGAAGAGTGACAGAGTGCTTGGAAAAAATATACAAGGACGGGGCGAGGAGCCTTGGCGGTCAGAGTGTTAGACGGCACGGTTCGCTCTGGTGGGGCCTCGTAAGAGGCTCTTCGAGGAATCTCGGAGTGCCTCTTGGAGGCCTGTTGGGGGTCTTCTGGGCCGTTCGGAGGCTTTCTGGGGGCCCTCTTGGAACGTCTTGTGGGGCTTGAGCCCGCTTGGGGCGCTCTCGGGGCCCTCTTGTGAGTCTCCTGTGGCTCCTTTGGGGTTCTCCTGGGAAGCTCTTGGGCCTCTGTGGGGCCTCTCCTGGGCCGACTTGACGCGCTCTAGGACCGTTTGGGGGCCTCTGGGGACGTTTTGGGGCGACCTCGGAGGCCCCCAGGGCCGTGCGTGGCCGTGTTGGATACGAAAAATCAAGAAACCCTGAATCCTCAGAAAACCCCAGGGCAAACAATGGTGTTTGCCTCCAGATTCCCTCGTGGAAGTCTTCGTGGGGGCCTCTTTGGCCGTCTGCGGAACTTCTTGGACCGTCTCGGGGCCATCTTCGCCCCTTTTGGAGCGCTCTTGGGCTGTCTCGGGGGCTCTTGGGCGTCTTTTGGGCCGTCTTGGAAGTATATGGGCGTCTTGGGGGTCTCTTGGGCCGTCCAGGGCCGACATAGCAGCCAACATGGGCCCGGAAGGCGTGTTAGAACAACATCCTCCGCCACGACCGTCCCCGGACCCCCCGCAGTGGGGCTAAAACCCTATACATAACTTATCTCGCTAGCGTCCTTTCCGTCACATGTTCCTCCGCCGCGCCCCCCCCAGCCCCCCATTAGGGCTAAAACCCAACACAGAACTTCTCTCGCGAGTTCCCTTTCCGTCGTGCTTGCTGTTGTTGAAAGTTTCTTCAATTTTCTAACGGGTCGCTCCCCCTCGCCGCATGCGTGCTTACCCCCCCCCAGAGTTTGCTTCCCTGCGAACTGTTCGGCAAAACGGCCCAAGAAAGTTCCTAGAGGCCCTCCAGGAGAGCCCGAAGAGGCCCAAACCATTGACTGGCCGATGGTTCTTCAAGGATTCTGGCGGTCTCGTTTTCCTTGATTTCCGACCGCCGAAGACGGCCCAAGGGGCCTCCAAGATAGCTCCAAGACAGCCCATGAGGCCCCGAAGAGGCCCCGAACTCGCCCAAGAGGTCCCGGGATCGCCCAAGAGACTCCGAAGAGGGCCCCGAGACGGAGCGCCCAAAGAGGGCCCCAACTCGGCCCAGCGAGACCCCCAAGACGGCCCCCGAAGGCGCCAAACGGAGCAATCGCCTCCCCAGTAAGGCCCAAGAGGCCCAATGAGGCTCCCAAGAGGCCCAAAGAGGCTCCCAAGGGGCCCACAGAGGCCCCCAAGAGGCCCCAAAGAGGCTCCCAAGAGGCCCGGCCCCGAGAGGCCCAAGAGGCCTCAACATGGTTCCAAAAGGGCCTCCGATGTTCCAAGATGCATACGGCTTCCGACATGCCTCCAAGAGGCCCCAAGATGGCCAAAGACTGAGTCCAGTGCTTCCGGAGACCCTTCAGGACCCCTACCAAGAGCCCAAACCCTGCAAAAGGCCAGAAAGGAACTTGATGAGTTGTGCCTTCTCGCCGTTTCGCTTCCGATGCGCTTTGGGGGCCCCAAGATGGCCCCAAGATGGCCTAAGAAAGCCCGAAGAGGGGCCCAATATGCCCATAAGACGGTCCGGGGAACGCCCAATTACACCCCAAGAGGGCCCCAAGATTGCCCCAATGGGCGGTTTTCAGGGCCCTAATGGGGGGGGCCTAGATCGGGAGCCCCCCTCCTTTGATCGATGACCTCGAAGATGGCCCCAAGAGACGTTCCAGGGCTCCCAAGAGAGCCCCAAGACAGTCCCTCTTGGGCCCCGAAAGGGTCCCAACAGGGCCCCAAGAGGCCCCCGAGCGGCCTGAGTGAGCCCAGGGTGACCTCCAAGATGGCTCGGGTAGCCCAAGCTGGCGCAAGATTGTTCCCAGGTGCTCCAAAAAGCCCCAAGACCGCTCCAAGAGCGCTCCAAGAAAGCCCCCCAAAGCGGTTTGCGGGCTCCTGATGGGGGGGAACTGCGTTGGGAACCGCCTCGTCCTGCAGTCGGTGGCCTCCAATATGGTCCCAGGAAGACTTCCAGGGTCACCAAAAGGGTTCCAACAGGGCCCCCCGAAACTCCCAGAGAGCACCAGCAGCAGCAGCAGCAGCAGCAACCATGAGTTCTCGTCCGCGCCGTCCTTATCCTAGTCCTAGTCCTCGTCCTCCTCGTCCTCGTCCTCATCCGCGTCCTCGTCCTCCTCGTCTTCCCCGTCCTCGTCTTCCTCCTCCTCCACCTCCTCCTCGTCCTCTTCCCCTCGCCCCCACGCGGCCCCCAGGGGTGGCCCGAAAAAGGCCTTCCAAGGCCGCCCCCTTGCTCCCAGAGATCTCTCGGTTCACCCTGGTTGCTCGCTTCGCTTCCCTAAATGTGTGTCTTCGTCCCTTTTTCCCCGTCAGCTCTCATGGGCAGGGCTTCTGAATAGGCGGACGGGTATACGCGAAGCGTGAAGAATTTTCCCCTCTAGTGGCGTCGATTTCATCGGTGGAAGAACCGTCGGCTGATAGCCTATGTTTTGCCAGCTTCCCGTCAGGATGGGAGCGTTCGCGACCCGATTCAGCGGCACAGCACGTTCGTGTTCTTATGGATGGTTTTTTTCTTGGAGTAGTTGCTCGCCCACTTTCAAGCGACTCACGTAATGGTGATGCGGCTTTGCCCGCCACTGCTAGAGCAAATGTGCCGTTGAACTACGACCAAACAGTCACATTGCTCAGAAAACGCCCGGCCGGCAAGGGGATGGCTCCCGGGAGGGCGCACGCACGCGGCGGGCGGAGCGTTTCTTTTCACGCGACCGAAGCCGAGACAGCTTCGGTAAGGCAAAAATGACCAGAGGCGTCGGGACGACTACTACTACTACTACTACTACTACTACTACTACTACTACTACTACTACCTATACCTACTACTACTACTACTACTACTACTACTACTACTACTACTACTACTACTACTACTACTACTACTACTACTACTACTACTACTACTACTACTACTACTACTACTACTACTACTACTACTACTACTACTACTACTACTACTACTACTACTACTACTACTACTACTACTACTACTACTACTACTACTACTACTACTACTACTACTACTACTACTACTAATGTTAGTACTTGTTCGTCTACTACTAGTACTACGACTACTACAAATACTTATACTGCTGCTGCGTCTTCTACTACTACTGCTACTACTACGATTACTACTACTACTGCGACTACTACTACGACTACTGCGTCTACTACTACTACTACTACTACGACGGCGACTGCGACCAGCAATACTACTACTACTACTACGACGACGACTGCGACCAGCAATACTACTACTACTACTACTACTACTACTACTACTACTACTACTACTACTACTACTACTACTACTAGTACTACTACTACTACTACTACTACAACTACTACTACTACTACTACTACTACTACTACTACTACTACTACTACTACTACTACTACTACTACTACTTCTACTACTACTACTACTACTACTACTACTACTACTACTACTACTACTACTACTACTACTACTACTACTACTACTACTACTACTACTACTACTACTACTACTACTACTACTACTACTACTACTACTACTACTACTACTACTACTACTACTACTACTACTACTACTACTAGTACTCTTACTACTACTACTACTACTACTACTACTACTACTACTACTACTACTACTACTACTACTACTACTACTACTACTACTACTACTCCTGCTGCTGCTGCTGCTGCTACTACGAGTATTAGTACTAGTACTACTGCGACTACTACTGCTACTTCTACTACTTCTAGTACTACTGCTACGACTAAATTGCACATTCGCATCATTACCCTCCTCACTCTTCTCCTCCACGCTCTTGCAAACAGTCAGCCTGCTGAACACTGGCCCGCTGGCGAACTCAACCTGCTTTTGTATGTCTTTGCTTTCGGGCCCTGGAACCCTCCAAACGGCAAAGCCTGTAGGCTCAGTTCGCTACCTTCGTCATCATCCTTGTCCGCCTCTCCATCTGTTCTGTCTGCTGTCCTGGCCGGTACCGAAACGGCTTCTTGACGCCGCCCTCCACGGGCGCCTGCTTGCGCGCCTCCTTTGCAGCCAGCGCCTGGCGAGAACTAATCCGAAGAGAACGGCCTCGTACACCGTACTTGTTCGTCTACGTCTACTTCCGCCCCTACTTTACTTAGACATACGCTTCTCATTATGCGCATATGCTTCTGCTTGTAATGCTGTTTAAAACTGACCTGTGCTCTTCTGCATCAACCTGTACATCTAGTTCTGTTCCGACTGCTACGAATTTGTCTGCCGCACGCCTCTGTGTCCGGCCTTGGCTGGAAAGCCCCCAAGACCCCGGGCCCACCCAAACGCTTGGATGACGCCATGGTTTTTGCAACTAGGCTGCCGCAATGAAACAACCACGGCTGCCACCGCTAACGCAATGAAAGATGTTGCAACCGCTACCGCAAAACCACCACCGGCTGCCCTTCCCAACTCCAGAAACCATTTCACTTCCACCGCATTCCACCGAACTCCGCCAACTTCCGGTACTTGCGCTGGCCGTCTGCCGCCAACCGCCGAAGTCGGGACCCACCAATGGCAAGGCCCCATCTGGACCTGCCACGGACAACCCGTGCTCCAAACATGAAGAGGACTCCAGCCCCTTCTGAGGGCAATCCGTGTTCCAGACATGAGGAGGGCTCCAGACGCGACAGATAGGACACAAGGGCATGTTTGATTTGGCTGGACCTGCTAAGCAGACTGGCTTCGGCCGCTCCCACTGCATCTTCAAAACACGTTGACGGCTCACGTTTACTTCCGCCGTCTTCCGCATGAGCTTCCGCTGCCAGACCCCTGCCGGCTTCCGCCGGCCATCCGCCGAGGGCGAGACTCGCCGAAGGCGAGGCCCTTCCTGGAACGCCCTATCTTTGAGGGGGGGCGAGAGGGGGGGGACCCTGGCTCAGGGAGAGAAGCCAGCGCTACACCGCTGGCAGGTCGGCTGTAGCCCCTCGATAACGCAACACACACGCTCCTGGGCGGGGCGGGCTGCCATGCGCCGATCGGCAACGAAGGGGCGTTTGGGGTCCCATGCGCCCCCCCCCAAGGCTAATCCTCATCTCACGTTCTGGCACACGAGGACCTGCATCAGTACCACCCCGAATCATGGAACCAATGCCGCCTGATTCGGCGACGGATCGCATCGATTTTGTGTGCGACCGGGCGGGACCAGTCGCTAATCCACATTTGAGCGTTACTCCTGAAAAGCTCTACCTCCACCCCCGTTGCCCCCTGCCTGCCCTCGCCCCCACCACAGAAGACAACTACACACCACCAACGTGCCCCAGCACGGTGCATACGCCCCCATGGCCGCGGCCGATTGCAGGAGCCTCTCGGAAGTTTCGCAGAAGAATATGGAAGACATTTCTGGCGAGCTCCTCAGCGTCTTGCTGGAAACTTCTCGATTTAAGAACTTTGGAGGCTTCTCGGAGGCTTCCCAGAAGGGGATGGACGATTCTCGAAGGCTTTTCGGAAGCTTATCGTAAGCATCCTGGGTCCGAGGATGGCCCTGGCCAGGAGCGGCGGTGGCGTGTCCTCAGGCATCCTCCGACGCCATTTTCCAATCCGCGGCCCCAGAGCTCCTGATCCCTTCCCCAGTGGCAGTCTTGCGCCCGCCTGGGTGCTCACATCGAGGAGCTGCTGGCTTTCGGATTAAGTCGGCTCTCTGGCGGCCGTTTGGGACAAGGAGGGGCCCCCCGGGCACTCTCGGCGAGGCGCAGCTGCTGAAAAGCAGCCCGAGGCTGGGAAACCGCCGAGAACCGACGAAACGCATCAAAACCTAAGAAAAAAGGCCGGCTGAAAAAATCAGATGGCGTGTTCCGGAAGCCCTGCTACTGCGAGCGCCCGTGCGGATAATCCCTGCCGTGTTAGGACGGAAGACATCCAGGAACAATGCACCAAAAAAACCATGCGTTCTCTTGGGAGGCAGATTTTTACTTCCGCTGGCTTCCGCCGGCCTCCGCCGGCGGAAGCGGCCTCGCTCTACTGCCGCTGGGTTCCGCCAGCCTTCCGCCGCCGTTTGCCGAGGTAAATGGCGACTCCTTCGATCCTCGAAGGCGAGGCCTTTTTCTGGGCACATCCCATGTGCGGATGCCCATCTTAGCTCCCGCCGCTGGGTGCTGCTGCCGCCGCCCCCGCCGCGCGCCTGGCGGGGCGCCTTGCCGCCGACGGACTTGCGGGCGGTCTGCTTGGTGCGGGCCATTGCCCCCGAGAGGTCGCCGGTGCCGCGGAGCCCTCCTTCCATTCCTCCTTCCAACGTCCCCTCGCGTCGTGAAAAGACCACGACGGGAGTTGTGTTGTTATTTTCGATTTGCGGGGGCTCCCGTCGCGGCCCCATAGAGACTACTCAAGACGAAAAAATGGTCCCGGAAAAGGAGCCCAGACCTCTGAGGCAGCGAGGGAGCGACACCCGGCGGACAACTGCTCTGTCACCGTGGGGGCGGGGCCCGGAATGCCCCTCCCACCCCCGCTCCGCACACGAAAGGGTTGGGGGAGAGGGGGAAGAGGAAGGCAACCTCCCTCCCTCCAGCACTCGACTCTCCCTCCATCCCGCGCGCCAGCGCTCCCCCCCCCCCTCGGCAGTCGAGACCCTCTCCTTCCCGCGCGGTCCCACCCCCTCCGGCAGACAAGACTTTCACTTTCCCGCGCGGAACGCCCCCCCCTCCCTGTCTGGCAATCGAGACTATCTCCTTCCCGCGCACCCCCCCCCCCCTGGCACTCGAGACTCTTTTCTTCCCGCTTGGTACGCCCCTCCCCCCCCCCCGCCTCCCACCCTCTGGCACTAGAGACTCTCTCCTTCCCGCGCGCCCGCCCCCTCTCGGGTGGCACTTGGGACTGTCTCTTTCCCGCGCCACCTCCGGCAATTGTGAATCTCTCCTTCCGGCGAGCTCAGTCCCCTCCGGCACTCTTGAAAATCTCTCCATCCCGCGCGCGGGGGGCCCACAAATGTCATTTCATTGCGATCGCCAAGTTGCCACGCAGCGGGCCAGAATTCCCATTGCATTCGACTCCGGCGGCGCGGGGAAACTTACCATTCCACTCGACTCGTCACGCGACAACGCAAAGGGGGCAAACACATGTCATTCCATTGCACTCGCCACGTGCCACACAGCAGGCCGAGGGAACAAACATATGATTCTCGACTCGAGCGGGGCGGACTAAGATTCCATTCCGCTCGACTCGTCACGCGGCAACGCCTGGGGGGCGAAATCCATGTGTTTCTAATTTGCTCGTCAAGCGGTAACGCAGCAGGGCGCCAACCACGCCTTTTCTACTTCACTCGTCACGCGGCAACGCTGGGAGAACGGAGCAAAAACCGACCATGCCATTCTACTCGGCACGTTCGACGCTCAGGATGCAAACCTACACAATTCTACTATACTCGCCACATGGCAACGCAGCGGGTCGGAAAACGCATAATTCTACGACGCTCGCCAATGGCAACGAGGCGGGCAAGAAAACATACCATGCCACACTTCTCATCACGCGGCAACGCCTGGGGGACGGAACGCATAGCATGCCATGGCACTCGCCAAGTACCCACGAAGCCGCCCTGGAAACAGATCAATCCATTCGACTCGGACGAAACGGGCAAAATACCATTCCACTCAACTCTTCGCGCGGCAATGCCTGGGGGGCGAACGAGATACTATTGGGTTGTACTAGCCCAATCGCAACGCATCAGGGAGGGGACTGAAGGGACAACCCATGCCACTCTACCCGGCACGTGGCAATGCCCTGAACGCCCTGGGGGCCAAACACTACTATTCTGTTCTACTCGCCGCGTGTCTACGCAGCGGGCAGAAAACATACTATTACACTCGATTCGTTACGCGGCAACGCCTGGAGGGGCGAATCACATTCCATTGCGCTCGCCACATGGCCACGCAGCGTGGCGGAAAATCAACCGATTCGGCTTTACTCGTTATGTGGACACGCCTGGGGAGCGCAAGAAAGACCATGCAACTCTACTCGGCAGGTGACAACGCCCGAGGGGCGAAACACACCTATTCTATGATGGCCGCCACGCGGCATCGCATCCCGGCGGGAGACGCACATTTCTACCAAACTCGCCAACGCAGCGGGCTGGAACAAAATACTCCTCTTCTTCTTCTTCTGCCTCAGCCCAAATCCCTGGCGGGAGGGGTGGCCGCCCTCTCAGTACTCGTTGAACAAGACACTTCGCCAAAATCTTCTCAATGAGTCCGTGCATGATTCCAGAGCAAGCAATTCTGCAATAAAGGAAGACACTGGTGTCGGTAAGAAAATACCTCGTCTTGCCAGTAGAACACATTCACCGTCAATTTCAGCTTCGAACAAAAACGCAGCAGCCGAGCATTGATCGTTCCTTGTGCCGCCGTCGGAATGCATGGCGAAATTTGCATCTCGAACGTCCCGTTCTGGTGGGGGGATATCGTGCGCAAGACGCTGTATTTCCATGGTGTAGTTCACAAGGTGGTCCGCCTTGCGGTTATAACACCGACGACGCCAAACAACAGGATCTTGATGTAGAGCTGGCGGTGACAAGCCGGCTTCCATCAACCACGCGATATCCCGGGATAGTCTTTGGAACACTGGCTCAAGCGTCGGATTCGTGAAGGGAGACCGGCCCATCGCCACTTCGACCACAGGCTGACAATCGGAAACACAAACAAAGCGCTTTCCCTGACCACTCCATCTGAAAGGTCTGCTTTCGCACTCAAGTTCTGCGTGAGACTCCAGGCAATTGTCGCCCCGCCTAGCGACAGATCTCATCCCATTACACTCGCCAAATTGCCACGCAGCGGGCCAGAACAAACACCATTGCACTCGACTGAAGTGGGGCGGGATAAACTACCATTGCACTCGACTCGTCGCGCGACAACGCCAGGGGGCCAAACAAATATCATTCAATTACACTCGCCACGTGCAACGCAGCAGGCCGGAGGAAAGAAACATGTTGCTCGACTCGAGCGGGGCGAAGTAAGATTCCGTTCCGCTCGACTTGTTACGCGGCAGCGCCTGAGGGGCGAAACCAATGTGATTCCAATTTGCTCGTCGAGCGGCAACGCCAGGAGAACGGGAAACAACAGACCATGCGACTCTACTCCGCACGTTGCATCGCCCGAGATGAAATTCGCCAGCCCAACGGGCCGAGGGCGCCCTAAGATCTTCGGCATCTGGTTAACAATATTCCTAGTTCGCGCGCGCGAGGTCGCCACTGGGGGCCCCTGGACAAAACCCCGGCCAAAACCCGGCCAGGTCCCTGGCAGGTCCCTGGCAGGTCCCGGGCAGATCCCAGCAGGCTCCCAAGAGCGCTCCAGGAGCGTTTCAAGTGGCCTCCAAGAGAGCTCAACATGGTCCCAGACGGTCCAAGAGCGATCCAAGACGCCTGAGATTGCCTCCAAACAGCCCGAAGCGCCTTCAAGACGCCCCAAGAGGCCTCCAAGAGACCACCCACGCGGGCCGCAGAGGCAGAAATCCCACCAGCCCTGTGGGCGCAGGTGGTCTAGGGCTTTTCCTTTTCCAGCCTCCTTCCTCTCCCTGCTCGGGAGGTTTACCTCCCCCCCCCCCCCCTGCGTGCGATTGGGCGGGGGGCGGCGACCCATGGCAGCGCCCAAGATGGCCCAACATGGCTCCAAAAGGGCCTCAGAGAGCGCAAGATGGCCTTCAAGATGGCCCAAGATAGCGGTAGATGGGTGAGGATAGCCTCCGACGCACGTCCAAGAGGCCTCAAGACGGCCGCAAGACGGTTTCAAGTGCTGTCCGAAGCCTCCGAGGGCCCCCCCTAGGAGGCCAATGTCCGCTATGGTTTCAGCCTTCTCGCATTTTCGCCTCCGATGGGCTCTTATGTCCTCAAGATGGCCCCAAAACGGTCCAATATAGCCCCAAGAGGGGCCCAAAAGGGCCCCAAGACGGCCCCAAGAGCGCCCAAGAGCGCTCCAAGAGCGGGCCAAGAGGCCGATGGGGGTGTCCGAATTAAGCCCCCCCCTCTTTTGTAATGAAATGGCCCAAGACGGCCCCAAGAGGCCCCTCAGGCATCCCAAAAAAGCTCCAGGAAGGCCCCCAGACCTTTCAAAATAGCCCCAAAAGCGCCCCAAGAGGGCGCCAAGGCGCACCGAGAGGGCTCCAAGAAGGCCCTAAGAGGGCCTCGAAAAAGCTCCAAGAAAGGGCTCCAGGACGGCCCCAAGAGGGCCCAAAGAGAACCCCAAGATAGCCCCAAGATGGCTCCAAGTTTCGAAACGCACGCGAGCTTAAGATACAAATCAGCGCAACAGCCATTACGAGTCACCGAAGCACCCCTCGCCCCTCATCGAAGCACCATCGTAGCTAGCACTTAGTTCCATCTTGAACTTCAGTGCGGGAAGCTATTTGTGATCCTTGTTTTCCCGAGGATGGCCGCGCGACTGCATGCGTCCTGCCGCCTCTGATTGACCAACTCTCTTGCTGATCGTTTATGGATGGGCTGGTAGGGATTATGGTGCGTCGCGACCGCAGGCGAGAGCGCCGGCGGCAAGTAAGGTCCGAGCGGGCCGCGCAAGAGCCTAATTGCCCAACGCCGATAGGCCGGCGGCATAAGCAACACCTAGGCGGGCGGGCCGGCGTGAGGGGGGGCGACGGCTGCAGCTGCCAGGAACCAGGCCCAGGAGCGCGCGCATACACGATTAACCAACCAGGGTTGGAGCGCAGCCAAAAATGGCGCGAGGGTGGCACCAGGATGTGGCCAGGAAGACCACCACCAGTACGCTGCACCAGCTACCAGGAGAACCTACTGGCCATAAAACTAATGCATGGGGTGGCGCGACAAAGTCGCACACAGAGATTCCTGAAGGGAATGCTGATCCTGCAGACAACCGTCCGCGGGGTGATCCCGGGCGGCCCAGCGGGGTAGCCAGGGGGGCGATGGGCGCGATCGAAACCGCAACGCGCCTGAACCACCGGATTCAAAAAAGCCACGCGCACTCGCGAACAGGGTCGACGACGTCTGAGAGCTGACCAAGACCAGGACAATCCACGTCTAAGGCACGGGGTCGAGTGAACATCAGAGTGCCGCGGGCACCGCCGCCAGGAACCGTGGGCGCAGTCAACGCAGTCAACCGTCAGCCAGGAGAGCACAGGCTGAACCACGTGCACTCAGGGGCTCCATGCGCTAACGAGGTTGGGCCTGTGTAGCTGGGGGGGCAGGGGCTGGGGCTGGCAGGGCCGCCGCGAAGCCCAGCTGCC